TTTTTTTTATATTGTGTATTTTTTTTTTTTAGAGGCACTGGATGACTTTGGAATATATTTTAAATTATATTTATTTGTAGTTATTTTGTCATGCCAAGGGGGCATAATTAATTGTTGCACTATGGAATATTGCCATTTAATGTAATTTGTGTAGTGCATATATGAATTGGCCACTTGGTAGGAGGTCAGATGACAGAAGGGGGAATTCAAATTGTATAGGAATGTAAAAGTGGGTAGATGGTTTGCAACATGGATGGATCCTTTGATTAATCAAAGGCACTGCAGTGTGTGAGATTCTACACTGGGGATGCCTGGATATCTAGTTCCAAGCTCTGCAGGATGTGACATGTTACACTTGAGATGCCTGAATGTCTAGTTCCGATGTAAATTAGCTGACTTCCGCCATATGGCCTCTGCCTCTTAATTGATGAGTTATTTTTCTTTGATATGTTAATGATCATTAGACATGTGTTCAACCCAGCAAGGGGACATTTCAGTTCCTACAGATCTCCTATTGACAAAGAACGTTTAGTGATGGCATCACTTGGGCATTCCGTCAATTTTCACAGTGTATACACTAACAGCACTGTACACCATCAGGTCTAAGCATCAAAGGGAGAAACACATTATTATTGCTGTAGTCTTTACAATGACATGCTAGTGTCAAAACATAGTCAGGTCTCGTCTTCAGAAAGGGTGAACAAACTAATTATCAATAACTACTATACGGTGCTGCAAATGTTATTGTTCCAACCATGTGCAATGTCTCTACCAAATTTAGGGAGGGGGGGAAGCCAAATATCCCTATTTCCCAGAATATACTTTAGTATAATGAGTTGCCAGACATCAAACGTCAAGGGAGAACCCAGCACATTTCCAACATATGACTATAACATGAAGTTACCGTTTCTTTTTTTTTTTTTTTTTACTTTTGTATCGCACTTTCACTTAAAATGTTGCTACTTTGTCCCCAAGGTCAAAACTAGTAGAAAGAACATTCCATCCAAAATCTTTCACAATGCCCATAAGAAGATTCATAATATGACAGATGAAAGCTTTCAAAGTTAGAAGAAAATACCTACTGACATATCAAATGGGCAAAAAATAATTATTATTTTTGGGATATTCTTTTCAGTAACTCTAGGGAATAAATTTTCGAGTGATGATGGAAAAGTGAAAACTTGCAAGCTCATTATAGTTGCAGAATGATGGGAACAGCAAGTCCTTAGAATATGCCTTTTTTACGATTGCAAGGATAAAATGGAGGGGCCTCCCAACTTACAGTTCATTAACCCTGTACAAACTGTTGTGAGTACAGTGTTTTTTGCACTGTGTATGACATTTCTTTAGCAACTGGTTTAACTTGACCTTGGGTCACATGAAAGGCTAAATGTGTCATTATCCGTCTTGTTTCTTCATTCTTCTCGTGCTATCTTGCTGGGCCATGTTGAAGTTTACACACTGAAAGGCCTTTTCATTATTGTATTGAAAACTCCTGCGACTGCAGATCTTATAATCAAAAGCCTCTTCTGTGAAGACACTTTTTTTTTAAACCGGAAAAGTTCATTCTAAGACCATAAACATTAAACTCATTATTTAGCAATAAGAAGCATTCACATTCATTTTCTTTTTGGTACCAGATAAAAGATGCAAAATTAAATTGCTTTGGAAACTCAAGTGCTTTTTTGATGTCACTGTATTTCATCTGTGGTTATGTTTTCAAAACAACCCGAAAAACCACCATAAAGAATAGAGGACTAAAACATAGCTTTATAAATTCAAAATGTTAAAAAGCACAAATCAGCAATGGAAGCCAAAAGTGGTGCTTTTTAAAGTTGAAGGAAGACTGCCTTTCAATATTTTGCCTGAATAAGAATATGTGATAGACCAAAAAAAAATCATTTTTAGCAGTTACTTTATTTCTACAATTGCACATTTAAATTATTATAACCATTGTCCCTAGTTCTTCATATGGAAATTTGTACTTGTAGGGGGAACACCATTGAAAAAATATTGAAAATCACCCATAACTTGTGTTAATATTTTTATTTGTGATATCTGTTTTCTTTTAAATTTATATTTAAAGACTTAGTCAAATTACATCATAATCCAGTTCAGACAAGGCAAGGCCAGGGCAAACAATGCAAATGAAGAGGAAAAATGTAACATTTTTTAATTTCTCCTCTTCTCTGTATGTTTGCTCTGTGCTGACTGGCGGGTGTAAAGGGCGGAGCTTACAATAATGATTGACAGTGAGCCAAGATGGAGGCATCCAGTTGCAGGATAAAGAGGTGTTGATTTTAACATTTATTTTCCAATTTTCACCTCTGAAAATGACAGCAAACCTTGTTTTTGTGAAAGAAAAGGGTTTATTCAAACTTAAAAAACTACTTATAATAGTGAATAATTATAGTAAAAATAATCTGTAGTTTTATTTAATTTAAAATTAAACACTGTAGTTCTCCTGCTCTCCTGCTAGCTGGTATTTGGCCAATGTCCATATGAATCTTACTCACTCTGATGTTTTTTTTTTTTATGCAGCTTTTTTGCTCTAATTTTAGATGCTGTAGTAAGTAAAATATATTTTTAAAAGATTATTTTAAAAACGAAAATGAAAAAGCATAAATAACCGAACAACTGTATGCTAATCGTACTGTATTACTAAGTGTTTTCACCAATTATTAAGACTTCTCTTTTGAATGAGAATCAATGTTTTGTTCTAGCTTGCATACCCCTGTGGAAAAACATTGTGTCATAAGATATACTAGGCAATTGTCTAAAGTGACTAATTTCAATGTGTTTTGTGGACAGGCTTGGCTAGAGTAGCCTTAGCACTTCAATGCCCAGTTACAATCAGTTCAAACAGAGAAAGTTCTATGACTGTGGTTACAGACACACACACACACTTTAAGAAAAATGCATGTGTGTGTTTGTGTGTGTGTTTATGTGCACACAACAAATAGAAAGTATGCATAATGTTAGGTTTTGTGTTAAAGTGACACAATCCTGTCTTTACATGACATCAATCAGTTTAATAACTACCAGTGGGGTGAAACAACTTTTTGAGAATTTAGACTTAAACATCATTGTTGGAAAAAGATCTCTGTTGATGTGAAGACTTTTTTTCCAACTCAGTTTGCCATTTGCTCCAAATGTTGCAGCTCTGTTCTGAGGTCTGCACAATGCTGCATCATCCTTCCATCAATCGGACAATAAATTCCGCAGTTCCTTCAATCACAACCTGTTCTCCTCTTTTGACGAGGTGGTTGACTCTTATGCCACATTGAAAGGATGCTATTGATGGATGAGTTAAATTGTAGCTATGAGAACAAAACTCCACGCATTAGTAAATGAAAGAAATAAAATATGCAAAGGACATTTACCCTAAAACCTGCAGTTCAAATTGAGTTTGACAGATAAGCGGCCAAAATGTTATAATGTGACTATTGTGTGAGAGCCAAAAATTAATTTACCCATGAGAAAATGGTAACATGTATATCGTTTGCCTGCAGCTCACATATACCACCTGTGCAAATTAGAGTTTTATTGTGTGACTGAATCCACAGAACTCTTAATATTTTATATGGTGGTTTTCCTTAAGTAAACACATGTAACTTCCGAAGTCCATGTTCAGGCTGCCAACTGATAAAGGATAAGGGCTGAGTTTCATTACTTAGTTTTAATTACCACAATGACCAGTTTCATGGATCTGACCGGACTTTCATAGATAATGAATTCTATTACGTTACATGTAAAGAAAATTTCTTGGAGTTGGGGGAGTAACAAAGTGATCCCTCTAATACTTTGATTTAGGCAGAGCTGGGCCGCACAGTGCAGGATAAGAGAAACTCTAACATTGTCTCTGTAAAACTAATATGTAACATTCCATTACTTTATCAGGTTAATTCACTAAAGTGATAATAAACGTTTAACTCGCAAGTTGGAATAAACTTGGAATTAATAATAACATTAATAACTAAAAATAATAACTTAAAAACCGAGTGTAAAGTCAGAGTCCACACTCCTTGCTTTCGGCAATTCAATAATATTTATTAATAAAGGCTTAATCAAACAAATAAACAATACATATACATTTGAAATAGGCTAGTATATGTTGCTACTAAAACTAACATTGACTGAATGGAAAGTAGGCTAAATTAACATAGTAAAACAGACATAGACACGTGATACAGTTACCACTCCATTGATCAGCAGCTGAGAGTAAGAGAGAGAGGGTGTGTATAGTGGGGAGAGGGGAGAGAGGAGAGAAGGTGAAGAGAGGTAATTCAAAGAGAGAGAGAATGTGCTATTCACAGGGCTTTAAACAGGTTAGTCCCTCCTTCTGCTGGACACACCTCCCTTAGTCAATCCCTTAGGATGTAACAGAACCAGAGTGCCTCCTGGGGGAAGGGGTATTGCATTGGAAGGGAATGGAGGAGGAGTTTATCAACAACCCAACTGATTTTGCCTGGTGAAAGGCCATGTGCTTCACAGAGGACTCCATTATTGCCTAAGGGTAGAATGGGGGCTTGAATCCCTGTATTAGAACACAATAACACTTCATTGGCATACAGTTTGGCTGTTAATCACATCCCCCCACTTATTACATCCCTCCTATTGGCAATGAAGTGGATGAGACACTTAGACTCTATAAAACCCACCAGAGATAAGAGAGAGATAATGCATCCTGCAGTGTATCTACTTATGTGAATGCACAACCCATTGTCACAATAGAGCTCTTTCCATTTACATATCATATTGGAGATGATATACTCTAACAATCAATGACTTCAAGTAACAACACATACCAACCTGATTAAAAATGCATACTATAGAAAACACACAATACAATAATAAATGGGTGAATTAATACATTTTCCATGGCAGTACCCCATGATGATTGGTTTCGGAAGTGAGTTTTTATTTTTTTTATTTCTTCCACCAGGTAGTACTAGCCATGTCAGTAAATAAATGTTCAGTTAGTTAAAGTTCTTGTTGTTGATGAAAGAACTCAGCACAGGTTTGTTGATCCTTCTGTGTCCAATCCTCCATTAAAGTATTGATAGTTCTCTGAATTTAACACCCTCAGACTGGAGTATTGCAGTCATACTATATATATCAATTATATTTACAAAACCCAACCCAGTACCCACACCTCCCAGAACCGTACCCAAGACAACCCTCCTATTCCTAGTTCTACTTCTTGTCACCCATCTGACTAAAACCTTATTAATAGTGGATGTGACCCTAGAACAGTTCTGAAAGTGTGATGAAACTAGTCAATCTGTTAGTCGAATCAATTGGAAAGTAATATTCCTGACTATAGGGGTAGGTCTCAGTATACATATTGGGAAATTACCACTAGAGACCACTCTAATCTCCTAACACTCAGGTCTGCTCCCATTATCCATTAGTGAAGGAGTTGTATGAATATAGGTGAAAGGAGGAGTCAGGAATATAGGCTCTATCTCTTCCTCTACATTCAACAAGACCTTCACTTCCCCACCCTTATTGTGGCCTACTGTTCCCCAATTTATCCCCTTTATGATTAATGTATCCACTATAATTTGTGTTATATGATACTCTCTAAGATTGCTGTTAACATTATAACTAGGGTTAGTAACATTTCATTTCATATTAATATTTCCTCCCTCCATATCTACAACCAGTTTTCCCCAACCAGTCCATATTCATTCCCATTTTCCTCAACCAGACCATATACATTCCCATTTTCCTCAGCCAGTCCATATACATTCCCAATGTTCTTAATTTCCCTTATTGTCTTTTCCAAAATCCCTTGAAAGAATCACGTTGCTTTAGCCAAACAATCTTGACTGCCCACCCAAAATTAAATGTCACATCTACATATGGAACTTGTAGATTGTCACTGCTGTCCTCTGTTAAGTCTTTGGTAGATCGAGCTGCCTTTGCATAGATACAGCTGTTGTTGCTTTGGCCTGTGACAAGCTGTTCCATCACTTTCCAGGTGAGTTTTAACATGTTGAGTGACATCCATGTCTCGGTACTTTTGGAAAAAATCTGTAAGAGATCAAGAAGGCGTATCAGTTCTTAGCAGATAACTCTGTACCTGGGGAACAAGCCCCTTTGTATAATTTACATTGGTCTACATGGACTGATTTATAGGATTACATAGGGCTCTTCCCAATTTGCATCCCAGGGATAATTTTGATAAAATGTTTAATCTTTATTACGCCTACCCCCCCTTTCTCAAACAGAGTTTGAGGAGTAGATACAATTTTACAATTTGTTGGGGCCATATATGAGACCCCCCTTGGACAGTGTAAGTGCACCTATGAAATCATTCTGTATTGACTTCCAGGGGCTGTCTGAAACTGGCACTCTCTGATGCACAGGCCTTTGTTGCTTAGGGCATGGATATAATTTAACATAACAACCGTTCTTTTATAGAATAACCACTTGAAGTGTTTGATGGTTCTGTAATAAAAGAGAAAGATTAGGATTCCTATTCAGTTCTGCTTTTAAATCTGGCACTTCTGAACCTTGATCAACAATCTTGGCTATCAGTAATTAGTTCTTTGCATGTGAAGTGCTCCTCCCATGCTGTACCTCAGGGTCTTTTACATGTAAATGCCATTGATCTCCATCTATCCTTTGCTAACAAATTCAATTGTACCTTTGAATGAGTGTTTACTGCTGACTGGAGGGGATGCTTTAGTCCCCATCCAACCAGTTTCCCAAGATTCCATTTGGACAGATGGTTTGATCTGGTGGCATAAGCAATGTCACTATTGATACAAATAGGGCGTGTGCCAAATTCCTTTGAAAAATGTACAAGTCCCAAAAAATTTCTTCAAGGATTGTTTGTTAAAAGGTCTGGGGACTTGTAAGATTGCTATCACTCTTTAATTGGGCAGCTGTGATAGCTACTCCCAAAAATGTTACCTTTTGTGTGAGCAACCTTTGAAGTGTTTAGCTTGACTCCAGCATTATGCAATTAAGTAAAAAAAAAAATTCCATTAATAAATTCATATGTTATTGTTTTGCCCCAGAAGGGAGACTTAGTGATAGGTCAGTAAGTCTCACTGAAGCTCCTGTGTTAGTCCAATTCTTAGTCTGTTGCCTTGCCATAATTTCATTCACGTAAGGGCGTCCTGCATGGTCCATAAATGTGTTACAAATAGGAACCATGCCATCCAGTTATAGTTATTCCAAAAATGAAATCAGAGGAACTTCACCCTCTTCATTCATTTTAGAATTGCTAGTCACTGTTCCCTGTACAGTCATCATTCTCAGAGCCTCCTGCGCAGGACCGTATAGATTGGTCTTAGGCAGGGGGTGAGAATGGCGTCCCTGACCTGTTTTATCCGGGGGTTTATTTCGGTCAATCTTTTCATATACATTTTGACCTATTCTTTCTTTGAAAGGCCCAGAGGGATAAGCATGCCATCCCTCAGTCATCCTTTGATCTATCTTTGCCTTTCTACAATCTTTTTGTCTATGACCACTTTTGTTGCAATAATAACAAGTACCTCTGAATGGAATCTCTGGGAGAGCTTGCCTCCCTTCATTAGTAGCCATAATTGCCACCTTGTGGTGTAATGTAACACCTTTCCTAATTAAATTTTGTCTAGCTTTTCCTATAATAGTTAGAACTCCTTCCAGAGTGTCTTTTTCCTCTGCTATCATTTGCACTCCGGGATCTAAATAAGTGAATTTTTTTATCAGGTATTGCAGTAAATCAGGAGGGGTTTGGTCTTGTGGTATACGGTGGGTTAATCTGTACACTTGTTCAAATTTAGATGCAAAAAGCCAAGGATCATCCTGTAAGTGTACCTTCATTTCAGCGAGTAAATGACTGTCTAAATCTCTTTCTCCGGTAATCAATTTGGAGATTGCTCTAAGCCTGTCTCCTTCTGTCCCCCATTTGTCTTCTTTGAACCAGTCTTGATCCCGATTAATGGGCCCATTTATGGGGGAATTTAATCTGCATGCAATGCTGCTTGGTGCCCACATTTTAAGCATAATACATGCCTCTTTAGGAGAGAGCATATATTGTTTGACTGCAGATTCAAAGTTGGACATATTCGAAATTACATCTATTTTGCAGTCATATGGGGGGAAAAGGGATCTTAACTTAACAAGCTGTTTCATTACTTTATCCCTATCTTGCTGCTGCAGAATTTTAGCAGTCTGCAGGGTGGCAGATGCCCTGCTTTTAACAGTCGGTGTAATGGACAAAGGGTCCCTAAAAGGTGATGCTGTTGGTTTAGTTATATGGGGGGTTAATACAGGAATACCACTAATATCAAACCCATCCAGTACAAGGCTTCCCCTGTTTACCCCTTGGTCCTCATTTCCTGCAATACCAGATGCCTCTTCTTCCTCTGCACACACATCCCCATGGCCACATACAGCAACTGGGGTTTGTGCAGCTAAACCTGTTCTAAGTGATGAAATTAGCTCTCCTCTCGCTTCATAATTGTCCTCTAATGTACTTACATATTCTGCATTTAAGCCACAAGTTGGACAATCACTATATTTCTGAGTACTACTTTGTATACAAGCCACAGTAGTGTGCCCCAAAAGTATCCGATTTAATTGATTTCTTAATAACAGCAACAATTTCATGCAATTTTGGATTTTCTGTTTATCCTTATTCAAACACCATTTTTTATTATCTACTCTCACATTCTCTTTTTTGCATTGTAACCACATGCTATGCATTTTCTTAAATTCATTTTCATTTTCAAACATTAGTGGATCAAAACTGCTAGACGCTGCATACTCTGCTACAATTTCCATTCTTAAAATAAAGTCAAAAGTACTTACACGATTTGTGTCTTCAGACTGCAGGCAAATCAAATGGTGTGCACCCCACTTTGAATCCTTGGTCTGGCTATCTCCGATCCTCCAGAAGTGATGGCCGGCTTACAAACTGCGTCTCACTCTGGTTGCCTCTGTAGGATCCCGCACGTCCTGGCCCTGGACGTATTGCCGAAAACGCTCACAAAAAATAAAACAAAAATTGGTTCGGTTATTTTGTCCCCTTTTATAGCTCACATGTATCTGGAGAAGACTGGATTGTTCCCCCCTTGCAAGTGAGCTTAAAAGGTGGTAGAAAATAATAACATGGCTCGCCAAATGTAATAAACGTTTAACTCGCAAGTTGGAATAAACTTGGAATTAATAATAACATTAATAACTAAAAATAATAACTTAAAAACCGAGTGTAAAGTCAGAGTCCACACTCCTTGCTTTCGGCAATTCAATAATATTTATTAATAAAGGCTTAATCAAACAAATAAACAATACATATACATTTGAAATAGGCTAGTATATGTTGCTACTAAAACTAACATTGACTGAATGGAAAGTAGGCTAAATTAACATAGTAAAACAGACATAGACACGTGATACAGTTACCACTCCATTGATCAGCAGCTGAGAGTAAGAGAGAGAGGGTGTGTATAGTGGGGAGAGGGGAGAGAGGAGAGAAGGTGAAGAGAGGTAATTCAAAGAGAGAGAGAATGTGCTATTCACAGGGCTTTAAACAGGTTAGTCCCTCCTTCTGCTGGACACACCTCCCTTAGTCAATCCCTTAGGATGTAACAGAACCAGAGTGCCTCCTGGGGGAAGGGGTATTGCATTGGAAGGGAATGGAGGAGGAGTTTATCAACAACCCAACTGATTTTGCCTGGTGAAAGGCCATGTGCTTCACAGAGGACTCCATTATTGCCTAAGGGTAGAATGGGGGCTTGAATCCCTGTATTAGAACACAATAACACTTCATTGGCATACAGTTTGGCTGTTAATCACATCCCCCCACTTATTACAGATACTTATCAGGAATTCAAAGTGAATTTAAAATTTAACGCCAAAATAGCCGAAACTGGAAGAAGGAAGAATTGTTCTATTTCAGCTATACTGATGTTAAATTTAAAAATACAGTATATACTCGAGTATAAGTCTAGTTTTTCAGCACATTTTTTGTGCTTAAAACCCCCCACTCGACTTATACTCGAGTCACTGTCTGTATTATGGCAACTTAGAGAGCCGCGGCCGTCAGAGCCATGGCAACGATCCGCGCGGCAACCAGACCGCGAGACTTACAGAGGAGCTGACCGGAACGGAGGAGAAGGGAGCTGACAGGAGCTGCAGGAAAGGTAAGTAAATGCTTCCTGCCGGCCCCCCCACTTCACAGCCCATGCCAATGGACCACCAGGGATTAAGATAGCCCCCCTCCCTGACCAGTTAACAAGCAGGTAGGGGGGGGACAAAAAAAAATTAAAATAATAAAAATGCCCTCCCCCCACCCAGTTCACACACACTACATTACATACACACTCTGTGTATATAATGCAGAGTGTGTGTTTGTATGAGTGTGTGTGTATATAATTATAAAAATCACACAATTTCATAGCCCGAAGTTTTACCCTCGACTTATCCACGAGGCATAGCATATTTCACAATTGTTGGTCACAAAACTGCACTCGACTTATACATGAGATCGACTTATACACGAGTATATACGGTAAC